AGGGAAAAATTGGAAGGTTCATATTTCCTAATTTCAGAACTTACTACAAATCCATAGTGATTAATCAAAACAGTGTGATACTGGCAAAGGGTAGATTGAGAGTCCAAAAATAAATCTTTGCAGCCCTGGCTGGTGTAGCTCAGTGGATTGAGCACAGGCCTGTGAACCAAAAGATCTCAGTTCGATTCCCCGACAGGGCACATGCTTGGGTTGCAGGCCAATTCCCAACAGGGGCCAGTTCCCAGCAGGGGATGCACCAGAAGCAACTATACATTGATATTTCTCTCCTTCCCTTCTAAAGATAGATAAATAAAATTTTAAAAAATAAATAAAATAAATAAATCTTTGCATTTTTGCTTTAACAAAAGTGCCAAGGTAATTCAGTGGTTTAGGAGAGGATAGTCTTTTTAACAAACAATTGAAAATATCCACATGCAAAAAAATTAATTTAGATGCTTATCTCAATGCACAAAAAGGAACTCAAAATGGGTTTCAACCTGAACATAAGAGCTATAACTATGTAATTCTTAGAAGAAAACATAGGAGTTAATCTTCATACAATATTAGAGCTGAGATGATAAAGACATTTTTAATAAAATGGATCTAATTAAAATTAAGAAGCTGTGTGTATTAAATGGCACCATAAGAAAGTGAAAAGAAAATTACACAGTGGGTGAGAATCTTTGTAAATCCAATTTGATAAAGATTTTGTGTCTAGAATGAAGAACTCTTGCAACTCACTTATATGTGCACAAATAACCCAATTTAAAACAGGCGTAATAGCCTCTACTGGTGTGGTTCAACTGGTTGGGGGTGAAAGGTGACCGGTTGGATTCCAGGTTGGGGTGCATGCCTGCATTGCTGGTTCCGTCCTGTTGGGGCGTGCATGGGAGACAACCGATCAATGTTTCTCTCTCACATCGATGTTTCTCTCCTTCTCTTCCCTCCCTTCCCCTCTCTTTAAAAATAAATAAATAAAATCTTTAAAAATGGGTAAAATATTTGCATAGACATTTCACCAAAAAAGATACACACTTGATTAAAAGCACATGAAAAGATGTTCCATGTTAGTAGTCATTTAGGAAATGCAAGTCAAACCCAAAGGAGGTAGATCTCCACACCCATTAAGATGTTTTTAATAACAGACACGGTAACAAGTATTGGCAAGAACGCAGAGAAACTGGAACCCCATACATGGCTGCAGGAATGTAAAGTGAAACAGCCATTTTAGAAAACAGTTTGGCAGTTTCTTAAAATGTCAAACATAGGGTTACCAAATGACCCAACAATCTGAGAGAAATACATACATATATCCACACGAAGATTTGTGCATGAATGCTGATCATAGGAGGAGTAGTAGTAGTCGTCGTCATAATAGCCAAAAAAGTGGAACCAACCCAACTATCTACCAACTGGTAAATGGATAAACAAATGTGGTATACCTATGTGATAGAGTATTATTTGGTAATAAAAAGGAACAAAGTACTAATAAGTATTATAACATGGATGAGTCTCAAATAGTTAGGCTAAGTGAATAAAACCAAACAAAAAGACCCCTTATTGTATGATTCTATTTATATGAAATGTCCAGAATAGTCCATAAGAGGCAGATTTGTAGAGACAGGAGTGAATTAGTAGTTGCCTGTGGCTGGGAGTGACTGCTAATGAGCGGGAGGGATTTTTTACGGTGATGGAAGTGTTCTAACGTTGGTTTGTGTTGCTGACCACACAACTCTTTTAATTTCCTAAAAATCACTTCATTGTACACTTCATGGTATGTAAATTATACCTCAATAAAGCTGTTAAAAACAAACTATTAATTAACTAGAAATAAAAGGAAATGTACCAAAAGTATAAAATAAAACCTATAGCACATTTTTAAATGGTAAAGCTTTAGAAGTTTTCTCTTTAAAATCAGGAAGGAGAAACATGCTATTAATACTGTTGTTCACCATTGTTTTGGGGTGGGGGGTGGCAGGGTCCCAGTTGGTGCAGTAAAGGAAATAAATATATGAGGGTTGGTAAGAAAAAAATGAAACGATAGCATTCACAGATGATGTGATTGAATCAAGGGTCAGTGAACAGTTTCTATAAAAGACTGTTAAGAAAAAGAGACTGTGTAACAAGTATTTTAGGCCTTGTGTGCTCTGTGGTCTGAGCAGCCATAGACAGTGCACGAATCATATAGCTGTGTTCCAACAAACGTTCTGTAAGAACACGGCAGTGGTCCCGAGTAGCCCATAGACCAGTTTTCTGACTCCTGATCTATGTAGAAAACCCTATTCTGGTGACAAATTATCATAATTAGTAAGAGTTAACCAAGATTGGGAGATAAAGATCAAAATGTAGAAATCAGTAGTGTTCCTAATCCCACCAAAGATTTAAAATTTTTAAAGTATATAGTTTTTAGTAATTAAGTTTAATTGATACAAAGAAATAAGATTCAATGGAAGACTTATATAACTTTTATGGAGAAAATTGTAGAATTTCATTTAAGTCATTGTAAGTCCTAAATAAAGTCTGTGGACTAGAAGAAACTTCTGAAACTACAAAAAGCAAATTTAAAAATACAGGATGTAGACTCAAAAAGGAGGGGAAATGGGAAAGAAAGCAATGACAATAAAATTTTAAAGTCTGGAGAGTGGGGCCCTGACCACGTGGCTCAGTTGGTTGAAGCGTTGTCCCACGCACCAAACATCTGCTGGTTCTATTCCTGGTCTGGGCATGCCTAGGTTGCAGGTTCCATCCCAGGTGGGATGTGTGCAGCAGGCAACAATCAATGTCTGTCTGTCTCTCTCCCCCCACCCCCTCCTTTCTCTCTGAAATCAATAGAAAAATGCCCTTGGTGCAGATTTTAAAAGACACATCTGGAAAGTAGGTAGATGAATGGCAACTTGATTTAGCAACTTATTGAAACAACTTAGTGCAAGAAAGCTGAATCCTAAACTAGCCATGGGGAAAAGTTAAGAATTTACGACAACTTACCAAAATCCTCAAAAATCAGGAGGACTGCCCATTCTGGGTACTCTGTCATTGAAGGGGGAGCTAAAATAAGATTCAATAAAAGACACTTACGAACTTACATTTCTTTCCCTAATCCATACCACTGGGCGATTGACCTCCCAGTTCAGAAGTTTCAAATTTTATCTTCTCAAGGGGATAAAGTAGAGGATCTCTACAGTGAAAGATTGGGTACTTGACCAAAATCGGGGAGGCTGACCTACCATGTGCATACTGAATATTGACTGCAGACACCCTTAGCTTCCTGCAGTTAAGGAACCGAAATACAACAGGAGTTCCTGAAAAAACAGCTTCTCCCTACATAGTCCCAGTACTTGGGGTTCCCAGTCAGCTTTTTAGTTCCTACTCTTAATTATGAGCAGGTGCTGAAGATAATCAGACATTTGCAAAAAAACTTGTAAGATAAAGACCTACATAAACAGGGAGATATTTTGGAGGAAATAGAACTACACAGGGAGAAGAAAACTTAAAAAACTGGAGGGGACTTGAACGAGCTGGAGGTGCTCTGCTTCTTCACGCGGGTGGTGAGTCCCAGGTGTTTTATCCTTCAAACTCGACATGCGTTTTGTTTATGTACTTTTCTGTAGGTATGACACAGTTCACAATTTTAAAAATAATTAACAAAAAATAAAAAGAGGCATTAAAAAAAAATAGGCAAGGAATAAAAAAATTAGGCAGATTTGAAAAAGAGCCAAACAAACCTTAAAGAAGTAAAAAAAAAAAAAACCCTATGGAAATTAAAAAATATATAGGATGAGTCAAGTAGCAGATTTGACACAGCTTTAAAAAATAGGTTGGAATAGAAATATTGAAAAATTTCCCAGAATGCATGTATGGAAATAAGTAGGTGGAAAACATGAAAGAGCAGTTATAAGACAAAGAGTCCAGTGTAAATGTTTCATACAACTATTTGGAGCTTTAAAGCAATAGGGAAAATAGGTGAGAGACAATATTGGAATAATGATAGAATTTTCCAGAATATAAGAATAACATGAATCTTAAGATTTAGAAAGTTAAATGAATCCCAATAAATAGAAAGAAATCCAGATTTATGCATATTGGAGTGAAACTGCGGTACTCCAAAGACCAAGAGAAGATCAGCCAGAAGAGAAAAAAGATAAAATTGTCCAAAGCAACAATGAAACTGACAGCAGACTTAAAAATAGCAACAGTGGAAAGAGAAACTCAGTGGAATAGTCGTGCTATTCAGAAAGAAATAATTACAACCTAAAGTTATATGTTCAGCTGGACTTTTAAACAAAAAGAAGAGTGAAGTAAAAATTTTCCAAACAACGTCAAGTGAGTTTACCTCAACAAAGTCTTAACTTTAAAAAACATACTTCAGCCCTGACCAGTGTGGCCCAGTTGGTTGGGCGTCCAACCGCAGAGGGTGAAAGGGTTGCCAGTTTGAATCCGGCCAGGGCACATGCCTGGGCTGCGGATTCAGTCCTGGTCGGGTGCCTGCCAGAGGCACCTCATCAATGTCTCATGCATCGATGTTTTTCTCCCTCCTTTCTCCTCTCCCTAAAAATAATAAGACAAAATATTTCAAAAATATACTTCAGAAAGAAAAAATAACCAAAAAAGGAAAGTTGAAGATGAAAGTGTGGATGGTGAACAAAAAGGTAAATCATGGAAGTTTAAGCATACATTGACTGTAAATTTTTTTCAAAACTTTATTTATTTATTTTTAGGGAGGGGGAAGGGAGGGGGAGAGGGAGAGAAAAATCGATGTGCAAGAGAAACATCAGTCGGTTGCCTCTTTCACACGCTTGACCAGGGACTAGCCTGCAAGCCAGCCCTCTGCCCTGACTGGGAATCGAACTGGCGACCTTTCAGTTTGTGGAACATTGCTCAGATAACTGAGCCATGATGGTCAGGGATTGACTAAATTCTAGTTGTAAAGCAAAAAGATTACTGTCACCAAATCCTTATATTTGTGATAACTCTAGGTTTTGTTGGCTTGGTCTCTTCTGTAGGTGTACAGAAGATGGCTGTCCGCATAAGAAATTTTTTCACACACGTTTTCTCATGCGAATGAGATTAACACCAGATTGTTCCAAAATGTTGATCTCGACGTCCTCTGGCTATCTCTTGATCTTGCATGACCTTGACTTAACCAAGTCTTTAGAAGTAGGCAGCTATCCCATTTTGAGAGCAAGAAGAACTACGTCAAGTTCAGGTAAGCTTTTCTTTTTTTTGAAGGATTTTCCAAAGAATCTCAGATACAGGGTTGGTATATGTTTCCATTCTGAGAATGATAGCAAGGAGAAGGGGAAAACATTAAAAAGCATTCTTTGGAAAGGTCAGTGAGAGCTTTTTTCTTAAGGAAATACAATGATCTATATGTGTCTCTGATCACAGATGATCTAGGAAGAATAACTGGTAACTCTAAAAAGTATTTCCTTTTAGCTCTCTGCTAGGCAGAAAGTCTTCCATCAGTATTTCTGAGTCACCACTATCTCAAAAATTAGTGATGGCCCATGGTAGTGTCAGTCTTTGTAAGCGTTTCTGGGACTCAGCAGAGCTTTTAAGTGACAGTCACGCAGCGTCTTTGTTTGACGTCTGGATTGTGTCCTAGCCTTCCCAACGTCCAGACACTGGTAGCTGGTGCCGTCTTATCTCAGGGCCTCCAAACATCCTCTTGCCGAAGTCCTGTTTCTCCTCCTTTTGCTCATTCCATTAGACTTAGGTGACGCTGGGGCTCAGAAGAACTTACGCACTATAATTTACATTATATGATAGAAACTGTATTTCATCTGCTTTGGGGGGAAAGGGGACTGATCTGGGAACATACTGAGGGGAAAAAAAGACTTAAGCATTGGAACACATAGTGTTCATAAATTGCTATTAAAAGTTTGCTTTGAAATGTCAGTCTTTCTCCCTGTGCACAGGGCCGTTTCTGAGGACCCCTTCGGGAATGGGCAGGCCTCCTTGTATTGCAGTTGCTGATTTCACTGCTATAAGTAGAACCTTAAGTTTTACTAACTTATTTGCAAGCAAGGAATATAATCTTTTTGGATTTAGAATTGTTTTCAGTTAAACATTAATAACTTTAGCTTTTTGAAAAGACTTAGTTGGTATTTTTTGGTTAAAAAACCAGGAAGGTTTTCTGACTTCTAAGGGTAATTCTGATGCTTAATAACATCAAAGGGAAGTTAGTTAGAATCGCCCCAGAAGTGTGGGCCCCTGGAAAAGTGTGGTGAAATGGAGATTGCTGTCCATAGCATAGCCTCTGATACTCGTCTTATTTTTTCCACTGACTTCAATGTATTAATTTGTATTGCATTTCAGAGAAAGTAATCATATATTTTCAAGAATGACAGTAAAAGTGTTTGGTGTGCTTTAAGAACGGTCTGTCACATTCTCAATAATACGCCTGTTGTTTGGACCTTGTTCTGACATTAATCAGTGGGCTGAACAGTGGAGTTTTTATTCTTACTCAGTTTTCTTGTTCCCTTTCATTACACAAATGATGCGGAAGCAAAGATGCTCCTGTGTTTATTCAGCGTTTCCTTTTTATTTTCACTTACTCTGGTCATTGGTATACAGGGTCTTAGAAAGGGACCAGGCTTTAGAACACTGGAGCCAGTTTTAAGTTGGACATGAACCTGCCTTGTTTCGGATGCGTTTTAACAGTATGGTTCAAGTAGATGATTAGAGAGACATTACCAAAGTCTTGCTGGTTTATTGTCAGAATTTTTTGTATTTTTAAGATCTGACCACTTCATCGAGTTCATCTGGTCCTAGAGTCTCTGGTTCACCCTGTCATCATAGTGATTCTAACTCCTCTTCTGAGAAACACACATCACGAGCCTCACAGAGAGAAGGTAGGTGAACAGCTGGCCTTTGGCCCTGGCTGGTGTGGCTCAGCGGACTGCGTGCCAGCTTTCAGACAAAAGGTCACCACTTCTATTCCCGGCAGGGCACATGCCTGGGTGGCTGGCCAGGTCCCCGGTTAGGGGTTAGCCCTCTTGTACATTGATGTTTTTCTTTTCCCCTCCCTTCCCCATGTCTCTAAAATAATTTTTTTTAAGTTGGATTTTATAACCCTGTAACAACAGATTCTGTGAAATAGCTTTCTTTGGCCCTGCCTGGGTGGTTGTTAGTTGGTGGGAGCATTGTCTGTCTCAAAAGGCTGTGGGGTCGAACCCTGGTCAGGAGCCCGAGGGGGGGCAACCTATTGATTTCTTTCATGCCAGTGTTACCGCTCTTGCTCTTTCCCTTCCTCTCTCTCTAAAATTAATAAACATATCCTTGGGTGAGGATTAAGAAAAATAGCTTTCTTTAATTCATAAAATCAGCCAATAGGCATAAGGCTGTGCCCAGTCCCTCAGTTCTGATATTTGAGAAGCTAAAATAGAGTTTCTAGGATTGATATCTTGGGCTAAAATCTTTGATAGAATGTAAGCTTTAGTTTTATTTCCTGGCGGTGCAGTTTGGAGAAGAAGGAGTTGGGAAGTGTAGATTCCAATCAAGGCAATTACGGAAAGTACAGGAGATTACACCTGTGACGGTGCTGTAAGCACGAGGGGACGGGGTCATAACGGCTTGAGAAGGTCACCTGGCTCCAGCCTGGTAGGCTTTTTCCAGCGCCGCTTTCTCACCAGGGCGAAGCCTGATGGACTCCGAGGGCCCCGAGGTAAAGGGAGCTGCCCGGGGGCCCCGCTCGGCTTTGGCCGGCTCTCCAGGGACCTCCAAGGAGCACAGCTTGAAAACCACTGCTTAGCTATTCAGAATGGGTTTCTTTCTGTTTTTGTTACAGATTTTTAAAATTCTTGAAATAGGGGTTTGTTTTTCTCAAAAATTACTAAAGTTTAATCTCATGTGAAATCATTATTTAGGTATAGTTTGGTTCTAACTGTAATTTAGGGCTTTACAATCAATGCTGCCGTAGTCATCTAAACGGGGTCTTTTAAAAGAAGATACATGTTTTTGAGAAACAATTCACAAAGGTCTGAAGAGGGAGCTCATTATCTTCAAAGGAAGAGAAGTGTTGAGATATTCTCTTGATCTTAAGCTTTTAAGCTGCTTTCTTACACTGTCTGCAAAGTGGTTCTCCGCATCTCTGAGGGATACGACTCACTCCCAGCAGTCACTGCGGCTCATGGCAGTAGTCACCGCCTTCAGGGCCAGGCAGAAGGACACATGCTGTGCCGGGTACCGGGAATACGTGTGATTGGCAGTATCTCCCTCCCCTTGTTTTACATGCCTCCAGAATTGAGTGTTTGTTGTTGGTAGTTCTGTCCTTGGCAGCAGGCCATAAGTCCCTCTCCTCGTATATATCTATTTATAATAGGTGTTTATTTACATAACAGCAGTCTCGATGACTTCAAGTATTTCCTTCTCTGCCTGAGAGAGCACCAGGTCCTCTGAGATGAGAATTGTGACCTTTGACTTTTCCAGATCCCTTTCATGGCACATAACTTTGACTTTACTGAAACGAGCTTTCCGAGATACCATCCAGATCAAAAGGACCCTCTGGTTTTAGCGCCTTAGCCTTAGGTCAGTGGTGATTCCTGCTGTAGGGACTTGGATTCTTCAGTTCTGGTCATGCCCTTTCCCCGTAACCTCACCCGAGACACACACTGTGCGTACTGGGGGCACCAGTACGTGTGGGTTTGTTTCCACACGTGGCAGCGTGACGTGGCAGGCAGAGGAGCGAAGGTGTGGGGGCTGGCTGGCAGAAACCCAGACTTTTTTCCTACTTGACTCTTTATTTTTTAAAAATTTTATTGACTTCACTGGGGTGACATTGGTTAATAGAATTATATAGGTTTCAGGCGTACAGTTCTATGAAAATCATCTGTATACTGTATTGTGTGCCTGTCACCCCAAGAAATCAAAGCTTTCTTAAGCTGCCTTAGTCCATTGATAATCCAGATCACACATTCTAATGTTCTTGTATCTCAGGAGTTTCACCTCGGAATAGTCTTGAAGTCTTAACCCCCGAAGTTCCTGGTGAGAGAGACCGTGGAAACTGCATCACATCCTTACAGCTGCACCCGAAAGGCTGGGCCACTCTTCTTCGGTGCTCGAGCAACACTGACGACCAGGAGGTACGGCCGCAGGGCCCCACCTCCCACGGGCTGCTGAGCAAAGCGCCTTCGCCACGTGTGCTTGAAACCCCTTCTTCCTCCTCTCCCCCCTGGGCGTGGCAAGCTGGGAAGTATTTTAAAGCAGTGATCAGCTCAGATTGTGCCCGGCTTTTTAATTTTTTTCTCCTCATTGTAAGAAAACCTTCATATAGTAAACATAGGACTGAGGTATTTCACCTAGGCTGGCTAAATGTGGGGTTTTGCGAAGCCAGTTGAGTACAATAATTTTCTGTTTTTAAAAACCAGAGGAAACTTTGGGAAAGGAAGGAACTAAACTGAGACTAGGGGAAAAAAGGTCTTACTGACCTTACGACTTCCACCACTCTGAAAGGCAGGAGCCCTCCAAGAAGCCTTCTAGCTCTAGAGTGTACAACTGAGCAGAGAAGAGCCCTTGAAGGATGCAGGAGAGGTATTCTCAGGCTTGAATGTCTTAATCCTAGAATTTTTTAAATGGCAAGATTCTTATTACTCTCAGAAACGGGAATTGTTACTACAGAAATCACAGTGGCCTCTGTGAATAACAGGCCTTAACGCACCGAAGTCTGGAATAACCCTAGGTTACAGAGATAAGAAGGGACGAGGCCAGCAAGTTAGTTGCAAGATGGGTGGGTGGCATTCATCTAAGTGATTTCTTGAAACAGTTCTGTGGCTTTGGCATTCTGTCGAGGGTTTTGAAAAGGAGTATCTGCAGTGCTGTTTGGGGCTCTGTAACTCCGGTGTGTCTTTCTCCTCTCTCCCCAGTGGACTTGTGTTTATGAATTCCAGGAAGGAGCTCCCGTGCGACCCGTCTCACCTCGCTGTTCCCTGCGACTGACTCATTACATCGAAGAAGCCAATGTAGGCAGGGGTTATATCAAAGAACTGTGCTTCAGCCCCGATGGACGAATGGTTTCTTCCCCACATGGCTATGGGATTCGCTTGTTGGGCTTTGACAAACAGTGCAGTGAACTCATTGACTGTTTGCCCAGAGAAGCCAGTCCCCTGCGGGTGATCCGTTCTCTGTACTCTCACAATGACGTGGTTCTGACAACCAAGTTCTCTCCAACGCACTGTCAGATCGCCTCAGGGTGCCTTAGCGGACGGGTTTCTCTGTATCAGCCAAAGTTTTAGGCACAACCTACATCAAATAAGCAACTCTTCTGGTGTTTGACAGATAAGTTACTTCAATTTAGGTGAAGTATTTTCTTTTTAGATCTTAAAAGTTTGGGTCAAGATCCTCATTCTTATGGGTCCAGGAGCACACCTCTGACCTGCGCACCGGGTCGTCCAGCAGAACAGGGGCCTCGCCGAGTCCGACTCCACGCAGCATCCCCAGTCCCGCTGACCTGCGCCGCTGAACTCCCGACACCCGGTTATTCTGCATGGTAGCTCTTGTCAAGTTTCCTTCTTTTTCTTTTTTGTTTTTTGATTTTGATGTGAATTTTGTGGACATCTGACAGGAGTTTTAGTTGGATTAGGAGAAACCTGTGACACTAGAATAAAACCCAAAAGTTCGATGTTGGCACACTGGTCGTTGAAAAAGAAACTTCATCTTCATTTATCAGCACACTTGGCCTTTTAAAGTTGCTGTTATGTTTATAATGAGCACAGACAATGGTGTTATTCTCATAACTGTTAGATAGTCTTGCAACAAAATGTTTTTTTAAGCTTCCTGTTAAAACTATACCTATTTTTTCACCATAAGAGGGTTTTGTTGTGCAATTCTAGAAGAAATATTATCATCTCTCTTTGTAATAACTTGTATGAACTTTAAAATCTTTAGCATGTGTCCTTACTTGGTATTTTGTTCCTGCCAACAGCATCAGGGAGGAAGAAGGGCAAAGGAATGGGCTTTTGCATTTCTTTTGTATAGAAGAGAATGTGTTTATTGGATCGGCACACTCTCTGACCAGTGATGAGAACAGCGTAGCTCAGATCTGCTCTCTCTGCCGGAGTATTTGAATCCCACAGGATGACGTGTTACAGTATTGGGGTGAAGGGGGATCTAGAGTGAAGAGGCGGGTTTTGCTCGTATTCCTTCCACAAGCCAGGTGGCAGTCAGCTCTCTCTGCATCAGAGAACTGCAGTCCTCTTCAAGCTGCTGGCTCAACCGTGGTCCTCAGTAGCTTGGATGTCAAGGCTAAAAGCTGATAGGAAGACCTCTGCTATGTTTTGCTATGGAGCACAGTAAGTAAGAAGCACCAAGCAGGGCTCTAGCCAAAGGCCGACTGCTCTGCCGAGTAAGCAGTGTCCCTCCAGTCCCCCCACTCGGGGCGGTGTGGTGTTTGGAGGGGAACTGCCAGAGGCTGGAATTATTTAACTCACACGCTGGCTTTTTCCCTCTTCCTTCGCATTTTCTTAGACAGTGATTCTCAAACATGAAGGTACATTATAATCATTGAGGAGCTTGTGAAAATACAGAAGACGCCCTCACCTTAGGAGATTCTGATTCTGCCAGGGAGAGGACAGGAGTCCGAATTTTAACAGGAACGCCAAGTAATCTTTATTCACGTGGTCCTGGATCACTGTGTGTGAAACACTACCTTAAACACCAGTCAGTGCTTTTGTACCCAGCAGGTGCTTCACACAACTCCCAGGAGGTGTTTTGATTATCGTTTTTTAAATAAGTAAATGAAAGCGATTTTAGAGCTAGAAAGTAATATAAGAAAGAATCATCTCATTATTTAAGGAACGAGAGAAGTGACGTGACTTGCCTACGGTCATCCTGAAAAACCACTGGCAGAGCCAGGACCCCAGTGCAAGTCTCCTGATTCCTTGCTCAGGGCAATTTCTACTGTATTATGCTGTCTGTTAAAATAATGACTTGTGAATACTTTATTTTGTCTTTAAGTTGTATTGTTGTGACTACCCTTAAATTGGCCAATAGATGAAAAAAGAAGGCATGGGAGAAGATGCTGAGAATTCCAGCCATAGCAGAAGAGTATTTTAAATTTTATGGAACTGTTTAAGCAACCCAGACGCCTAGATAAAAATGACATGTTTCTTCTAGCAGGGCCCACCAGACAGCCAGGCACACACTGTATACAGGTCACGTCTCACTTGGGACAGTGTCGGCTCTAGGACTGTTTTTTTTTTAAGGTTTTCTCTATTTACTTTTAGAGAGAGGGGAAGGTTTGACCCTGACCTGGGGTCAAAACTAGAACCTTGGTGTAATGGGATGGTGCTCTAGCCACTGAACTACCTGACAGGACCTAAAATTTGGCTATTATTTTAGTCATCAAAAAACTTATGACATTGTACATTATAAACACAGGTTTGCCATAAACTTAAAAAATTATTTTAACACTTAAAAGTTTGTTTTAATAATTACATCTGCATTAGCCTTAGAAAACAGTAACTCAAAGACTTGTTTTTTACTCCATCCAAAAATAAATTTACCTTTCAAGGATTTCTCAAGTATATCATTTTTAAAGATTTTATTTATTTTTAGAGAGGGGAAAAGAGGGAGACTCAGAGGGAGAGAAGCATCTTGGGTTGCCTCTCTCATGCCCTCAACTGGGGGCCTGGCCTGCAGCCCAGGCACATGCCCTGACTGGGAATCAAACTGGCGACCTTTCGGTTTGCAGGCCCGCACTTAATCCAATGAGCCACACCAGTCAGGGCTCATGTATATCATTTTTAAAAAAGAAGAGAAAAAAAGCAAAATGAGAATTGGGACATAACATACAGTTTCTTACTGGCTCATTGATAGCTTGTTTATAAAAAACACATTTAAAAGAAAAAGTTTCGGAGGTAAAAATCCTCCATGTTAACATTAAAAATGAGCTACTAAGTACCGTTATTGTATTGATAATCAAAAGAGGCTTCCACAAATTCCATCTCCTTTGGAGGGAGTTCCACGTTCACATGCTGGGCGCACGTGTCGCCCGGCTCCAAACTTCAGTCCATGGTTGTTTTAACCACTGGAGAGCACTTACCACACGTCAGATAATGCACACACTTCACTACTGACCCTCACAGGGACCTTGCAAGGTAGGCGGCATAAGCACCAAGTTACTTTGGAGGGAATGGAGAGTCAGAGAGGTTAAGTGATTTGCCTTAAGTCACAGAGCTGAGTGGCATCACTGGGATTCAAACCCGAGTCTGTCTGTTCTAGTCTAAAACCTGTGCTTCCTGCCCTCCCATTCTGCCCTCTGGTTTGTAAAGGATGGTAAACTGCCTTGCTAAGTCACTTGTTTAGCATCCTCCGGAAGTTCTTTATTACGGAGCTGACTTACCTTCTGCATCACGTGAAAGAACAGTTTTAAGATTGACAATTTCCATTAGAATTAATACCATAAACTTCAGGACATACATACGGTCCATTCCTAACTAAAAAACCTCAAGCAGGATACATAGCTACAAAATAAAAAGTAGAGGGTAACTAGCCTTGTATAAAAATAGAGCCACACAGATGAGATTTAAAAATGCACAGCCAGCAAACTCAACAAAACCACCTTTGTCCTCTTTGAGGTGTGGTCGTGATCAAAAAGTCATCGGGGGTATTAATCAAGGAATCAAAAGTCACCAGGAACGCTGTACTCTTGGGGGACATCACATCCTATCATTTCAAGGTTCCATTTCACTTAGAGTACAAAATCTGATCTGGCATTTTTTACTCTAAATTGTACTTAGTCATTGGTATTCATAGTTGGCACATGTATTGTAATTGGTAAAACAGGATAATTGTTGGCAGTGTTTCTCAAAGCTTGTGCAGGCGGTGTAAGGCACTGCTGTGCCGAATGACTCCAGGAACTCCGAATGCACAGCAGTTCCTTAGTTTCAGTTGTGAAAATGAAGTGGCTCAAGCAGCAGAGACCTCTATTTTAATATGTGTGATCTTTTTTCTTGGAAGCCCAGAAAACATATTTTGCTATTTCTCTTTGTCATATCCCTGAGAAGAAGCCATACCAAAAACTGTAGAAAAACAAGCAAGGAAAAGGTCAATCACAGCCCCCCCCCTCCTGTGCTCAGCACCAAGGCCACAATGTACCATTAGTGTTAAAGTCTTGTTTGCTGGAACGTGAAATGTAGGAAAAATATTCTGAGAGTCTTCTAGAAGCCTAGTGTTTCCCAGTCAGTCAGAATACATGGTTTTGGATCCATAAGTATCTGTTAAGCTTGTGACAAGTGAGGGAAATATTCTGATAACTTATTGATGACAATCAGCCCCATCTAGTGGCCAGTAGTCACTGAGAGCTGTGAAATCTCACTAAGTAATACCTGTGTTGGTCATGAAGGAAAGCATATGTACGACTTTTTGGATAACTAATGAATATCTCTTAAGTGCCAAAATTTAAAACTTGTAATAATTTTTGAAGTTTTTCAGATGTTAGTATACCTCCTTGCCTTCTTCTTAAACAGCATGCTCAGTATAATCCACTTTCTCATGATGAAAAGTAAAAGTTATATTCGTGTATCATTATAAATATCCAAGGAGCTCTAATGTATATAAAATAGTTCATAAGATGTAAAGGGCTATAACAAATAAGTTAATATCAATGACTATAAAGTGATTCCCTCAGCCCTGAGGTATATATAATCATTTGCCTCGGATTGCTGTTTTCTTTTAATTTAAAAATGTTTTATATCTGCTAAGCAGTTTGTTCTGTCTCCTTCTGATGTGTCAACAAGCCTGCCTCTGACAGGCTTCCCACCGCCTTCTAGGGAGCCGCGCTCCCCGGCTGGGAGCCGGACGTGAGATAACCGAGAGGGCCTGGCGTCCACAGGGCGGACGAGCTCTGGCGGGCAGCCCTGCAGGCAGCTCTGTTGGTTGCTTACCCCTTTGTGACCTCGTGGATGCCACAGTAACCTTCTGGAAACCAGAGGTTTCTGGTTACAGCGTGGCCCAGTGGTGTTTTCAAGTTGCTACTCAGTAAAATACTACAGACTAAGGATGTGGCTAGAGTAAGGAATGGACAGCAGTGTACCAAAGAATAGCAAGGCAGCCGCAAAGGCTCTGTATGTGAGCCTTGAAGCCTGAAAAAAGTGGTTTTCATGCTTTTAAGGGAAAAAAAAGGAATGCAGAGGGGGGGAAGCAATGAAAATCAAATCTAGATAGACTTAAGAGTATTTTTGATGCCATTAAATTTTGTCCACAACCATTAAAATACATGCTTAAATGATCACATGTTGTTACAGAGACACAGTTTTAGTCTCATTGCAGATTAAGATCATATCAACATTCTTAAGAGTTTCTCCCATTCAAATGGCGATGGAAATTATCAGAAGGAAATTAACAAATTTACCTGTCTTGCGCTCTCTCAGTTGTAAATGAATCAGAGGTAGAAATACGAGTTGGGCGGGTGTTATGAAAAGCTCCCTCTCACACGCGCCTCCTCTGTGTGTGTGTATGTGCATGTCACCCAGAGGTAATAAAATAATTTTAAATATAAATGTGGTCCAAAGTATTTAAAATAGAATTTCAAGCTTTCCTAAGTTTCTTCCTCATTTAGATTTCATGGTTTTTACATTAAAAATTGAATATTTGAATTTTCTTTTATTTCCAAATTGTGCTTTCTGATAAATTTTAGATGAACATCTTCAAGAAATCTGGGGTGTTCCAAACAATATAGTAGACACCAGAAGTGTCCTCCCTGGGCTCTGAGGTTCTCCGAAGTTCTTATGCTAGACTGTAAGCTCCTTGGGGGCAGGGACCATCTTATTTATTCCTGTTATCCTCAGTGATCCGTACAGCATCTGACAGAGTAGTTGCTCCATAAATGTTTGTTAAATGAATAAAATGAACCACATACGTGTGGCCTCAAGTTCCTGTGAAGCCAGACTGTGATGTGCAGATCGCTCAGTACCAGAGGGGCCCACCGTTTATCACAAGTCGACACACTCGATGCATCAGAGGAATGACCCGCGATCAGCATTTCCATTATCGGGAAAACAGCAGGTTAAGCTCAATTCTTCAGTCCACAGACATCTGAATCCCCACTATGTGCTAATCCAGTACTAGAGACTCAAGGGACAAGATCACTGAAGTTTGGTATTCCACAGCTGCGGCTGAAATAGGTGCAGAGCGGGCTTAAGGGGCGTGTGACCTGTGCCAGGGGAGGGCCCTGTGCTGAGACCGGTCCCAGGCTTGGTTCAACACTGTGCTGGGGCCCTCATGCAATTCTTCAGTTTTTGAACAAGAACCCGTAATTTTCTTTTGCACTGGGCTCAAGTTATGTAGCTGGCCTGGCTTGGATAGTATCATTTTGACACCACAGAAACAAAATAGTAAGAGTTATATCAATATTATCTTTTCACATTCAGTGAAAACTGGCCATAAAGTAAAATAACCTATAAAATCTAAAATTAAGACAGAAGTACTGACCTTTCAACCAACTTTTTAACAGATCAAATATTCTTCATTTCAGAATTAGAAAAGTATTCTAAAAATGCAATTGGCTTTTTACCTTTTCAATTGAAATGTTTTTGAGTTTTTCAAATGAATGAATGTATAGTTATAGGTGAATTTATTCTCAACATACATACATACCTACATCCAATTTTAAGTTTTTAACCTTTTATTATATGCACTGAATATTTTGGTATAAGTCTACCTCATAATGTGCTTTTAAAAAAATAAATACTACTTTGAAATGCTTGACACACTTTCTGTGTGTGTGAACCTGGTGAAAGGCTGAGGGCAAACCTGCATTTAGCAGCAGCTGGAACATTTTTGCTTAAGTCGCTTAGGCGTTCGTCCTGGGGCCAGACGCAGGCAGTGGTGGGGTGGTTCTCGTTACAGTCTGAACTTGGTGTAGCCCTATCAGAAAAAATTAGAGAATACACTTCAAATTTGGATTCTTTATCACTTTTGTATGTGTGTAGATATATACACACATATATGTGTGTATGTACATTATAAAACATGTACAGAAATAAAGGAACTTGTAAAAAGATTTAAGAAATCGATCTCTTCCAGGGACCACCGTGTGCTCATGCCCCATTCTGTGGTGACCAGCGGCATTTTACCCGAAACACATTTACTGAGACCTGACTGATCTGCACTGTTCGTTACTGTTCTGGCCATTTACCTGTTTGTTTGATATGTTTTTGAGAGTTTTACAAATTCGTTCTTTATTCAAGTGAAAATTGTGTTCATATAAATAGCATAGCGGATACATTTTACTTTTGTTTGTGGAGCTGTATACAGTGATTGGTTCTCAGGTAGACACATTAGAATGTGCATTTTTTTTTCAGTGTTCCCTAGAAGGACTTTTTTTGTATCACTTAACAGTGTGAGTGGTGGTTCATTTTACCATACTATTTTAATTCACTAAAAAAAAAGACGATTAAATTTGGAACACTTTTTTGTTAAATCATTGAAGAGAAAAATGGAATGAATCCCTTTTATTTTGTGAAATTAACCATTTATATAAGCTGATTGAACCAACCATAGCACTAATTGCTATTTCAGTTATTCCAATGACTGACAGGCTATGAGTCAGAAAAATTTAAAAGTAGATTTTTCTTTAAAAGGAAATGGTTATCTGGCATGCATTTATTTATTCCAATAAGTCAACAATTTATATTAGTTTCCTGTTACTGGTGTCACAAATTACCACACACTTAGTGCTGAGAACAACACAAACTTCTGTCCATGAGTTTTCTTCCAGGCCCTCCTAGCAGAAGACGTGGAAAGTGATGCTCAAACCGGAGCTCGAGTCCAAGTCCCTGGAGGGCTTTCAAAACACAGACTGCAGGGTCCTCACCCAGGGTTTCTGACTTCATAGGTCTGGGGTCGGAGCCCGGTTTTGCACTTCTAACCAGTTCCCTGTCACTGCTCTAGGTCTGGAGACCAGTTTGAGCACTCCAGACACTGAAAATGCAGTCAAGAGTTTGGCTTTTCACGGATGACAGATCCCAAGGATCTTTATGTAGAGGAAGGAAGCCGGGTTAGGGAAGATCTTAACTTTGCAGGTTGATACTGTAGATGCACAACAGGCGTCCCTTCAGCTACACCATTCAGTCCGTTGTCAGGCTGGCCCTGCATCAGCAAGAGCCTAGACTTTCCTGATTTGACTTGATATTTAAGTTACTGAGCAGCTAATCAAACTGAGATCATCCCACCTTCTCAGAAACAGACTGGCGCTGGGCGGCTTATCTTCTGGCTCCGGGAGGAGCAGTGCTACAGAAAGTCCCACCCCTGGCGTGAGCTGCGACTCCGGAAAAGGCACAAGGGAAACTAACCAGGGCGGAGACAACTCGATCTTTAAAAAAAGATTTTTAATTTTTTTTTTTTTTAGGAAACAGCTGTTTCCATCGAAAGCCATTTAAGTTACTGGTACACTAGACTGCTGCTGCCCTATTAACTCGCAAAGCCCGTCAGCAGAAAAGCTTAGTCTTTGGGTAAAAGGAAGGACCCCTATTTCATTGTGAAAGGATTGCTTGACTCCAGACCCCTGGGGTGGTCTCTATAAAAAAATAAATTGATTAGGCTGTGTTTCACCCACCAGCCCTGTCCCAGTCTGTGGGTGGTACTCTGTGGGTGGTACTCTGGGCCTGAGGAGAGGGAGGAGGTCGCAGGTGGCTACCATCTTGTGACTTGTGGGAAAGGGAATTACTAGGTCATAGGTCTGTATTGCCCTCTAGCCATTATTTCTGTAGGGGTGATACCGCTATGACTTCAATGGCACTCTGAGAATAATTAACATGCTAACAGAACTAAACTGAATCTTCCAACATATTGCCAACATCAAATACTGTGATAAGCGCCCTAATGATTTTTCTCCACATTTTATTATGAAATGTGCAAACATACAATAAAGTTGAATTTTACAGCCAACATTTGTTTTCCAGGATTACATGAATATTTTATTACACTTGCTTTATCACTTATCTAATATTCCATCAACCCATCTTAATTTATTTTGAATAAATTGCAGATAGCTGTACCTATCTTTCCCAAAACCTCAGCAATACACATCATTAACTAAAGTTCGGTATTTTTTCTTTTGTTGAAGTTTCCCTATGATTGAAGCCCACAAATATAAACAGCAGGCCCTCTAAGTTTATACAAATGTATACACATGTAAAACAAAACCCGTATCAGGATACAGGTTACCACCCACCCCGGAACGTCCCTCACGCCCCTTCCCAGGAAGACCCTCCCCGTCCCTCCCAGAGCTGCATGAACGAATCACACACTATGCAGCCCCCACAATGATTTTTAGGACATATTCCGAAGAGAGTCAAACAGTCTCTGGAACAGGAAGAGTAACAGTGAAACAACATCTGGGACCCGATTATGATTTATTCACTGAGCAGATACGAGAATCTCTAGTCTGCGGGTACAAAGATCAGAAGACAGTCCCTGCCCTCGGTAAACTCACAGGGAGGCGACAGATGCAGCACAGACGGCGGAGAGAGCAGGGGTTGAGCAGGTCGGCACAGGCCACGGGGTCACGGGGTCACGGGGGCATCAAGGGGAACTTTCTGTTCGGACTTTGGAACTTGTTCCAGGCGTCCCATGCTCTGTATGTCCCCACAGCTAGACTCGTAATGCTAAATGATTCGTCTTTAAATAAGGGCAGTTTTATAGTACTGAGCAGATGTAAGGCAAATTTGCTAAACAAGGAAGAAACTATAAAAGGCACAAATTGAACTTATGAAGTCTGTTTTTCCCCAGTTTGGGTTTACAGAGACTGGAACATACTCAGCACTGCCCGCAGACAAGGAACAACCTGCTGTCCCGCTCGGGTGGGAAGAGCTCCAGGCGGCAACGAAGTATTTATTCCGCCCTCCCGGACTCGCCTGCGCTCGCTCAAACAGACTGCGTCTCCGGGCCGGGCCCCCGCCGGACTTCTTTACTCTTAACCTTCGTACTTAACACACGTTACAGAGAAGCACTGTACTTGGTCCCCACACATACCCACTTTTTCCTATTATGTCCTTGAAACCTCTATGGCTCTTTCCTGGTGAGGAGGGAGTGGTGAGGAAACCAAGAAACCCGGGTCGTTTCTGTTTTAAATCGCCCTTTTCCCAGAAAACTAGGGGAGAGGGATTCAGCAGAAAGTTTTGAAACTTCCTTTTTCCCCCCAACGAAAGAGAACGCTCTTCTCAGAAGCCACCCATTACTACAGATATGACCCTTGAGAGAGGAGTAAGTTCCTTTCTAGTCTGAAATGAAAAGGTAGTATCGTAACTAAGTCCATTCCCTTTTCGTGCTTTACTTTGTAGCAGGAGCAAGTACTGATGACTCATCGCGAGTGCTTTTATTTTTGTTGATTAAAGGTAGAGGCGTTTGCTCTCATTAAGTACAAGTTACCACCTTCGTGGCTCTTCTGCAGTGACAGAATAGGACCAATGACACTATTTTAAGAAACTTGCTTCTCGCCCTTCTTGGTTAACTGCATCCAGCTTAGTTCCACAGTTCACACGCAGTGCAGAGGGATCAGAAAAATGGAATGTCTGCACACTCGTACAATCCTGACACACACAACCTTTGTTTTGTCTCAAGTTGGGCAGACGTTTCTCAGACTGTCCCAAATACCGTCCCAATGTGACGGTATTTGTAAATGGGCCTTCGAGGGGTAATTAGGGTTAGATGAGATCAGGAGTTTCTCCCCTTCCATGACAAGTCAGCACACCAAGAGGCCTGTCACCAGGAACCAAATCCGCCGGCACCTTGATCTTGGATTTCCTAGCCCCCCCCCTCCCCCCCCGCACTGTGAGAAATGTCTTTTTTAAGCCACCTAGTCCATGGTATTTCATTATGGCAGCTCAAGCCACATAAAAATACTTTCCTTAACCTCCATGGCCCATCAAGGAATGAAGGTCAGACGGGATATTCCAGAATGCTGTAATCCTGAATATCCACGTGTCCCTTCACTCTCTCGATTCTTCGAGATATTAACCAGATATAAACCAGTTGTCAGCTCCTGTGCCAGGCACTGGGAACACTGGAGACCAGAGCAGATCCCTCCCTCGTGGGGCTGGCACTTGAAAGGTGCAAGAGGTGGTGCATGAACTGTCTTGCCTGAAGTGACTTTTGATCTCAGGAGGAGGTGCTGAGTGAATCAGGGAAGGGCGCAGTGCTTGGGGCGGGGGCACTCTGCTCGGGTGAAGGGCCGGGGACCCGCTGCTGAGTACAGAAGTCCTGGTGTTGAGGGCAGTGACAGAGCAGGGCAGTGGCAGCTGTAGGTGAACAAAGGTGGCAGAGGCCGGATCGTTTCGTCTGAAATAATTACTGTCAGCAGTATGGAGAATGGATTGAAGAGATGCGAATCTAGATATTCTCAATTTCTGCTTCAAAATCGGGTATGCTCATCTGGAAGAAAGCTCCCTACTGGCAACTTCGGCTGCTACATGGACTAAGTGGGGAACCAGCCTCGGGGAGATGGGGGGGGGGGCTCTGAGGCAGCACGAGCTCCTCTAGGCCCCCGTCCCCGTCCCGCCTTGAGAAGTACCAGGTCCCTACACGCTCCCCTCGTCTCTGATCTACAATGGCTGCCGCAGGTGGGTTAAAAAGTCTCACCAGATGACATGTAACACTCCTTTTGTCAACTCTGAAGTTCAGGATATTCACTTTCGTAATAATTTCTACCCTCGAGTTTCTGGGACATGTTACAGCAACTGCCCCCTCCCCCCAGTGGTCCTCGCCAAGCCGCCTCCGCTCGCCCAGACACAGGGAGCACCTTACAATTTACACGTGAACCAACGGTGCGGCCGATACAACGTCACCCCGACAGGAAGCAGTGGCTATGAAGTTAAAAAGCAGATACGAAAGTGGAAAAGCACCAGCACCCAGACCATTTACCTGGGGGAAAGCGTGACCTGAAGGTACAGATTACGGACAAGCTGAATTTACCATTGGACACAGCAGGAAAAAAATCAAAATGCTTTACAGTTTAGCCATCTGGAAAACTATCTGGAACTTAAAAAAAAATTTATTTTTATCTTCGCCCAAGGACGTTTTCCCCATTACTTTTAGACAGGCAAGAAACACGGACGTGAGAGAAAAGCATCGGTCAGTTGCCGCCCATTCATACCCAGGCTGGGGTCACACGCACTCAGACCAGGGACTAAACCTGCAATCTAGGTTATGTGCCCCAACTGGGGATCGAACCTGCAACTTTTTGGTTACAGTAGGACAACACTCCAACCAACTGTGCCACTGGCCAGGACTGGAACCCCTCCTGACCAAAGATGAATAAATGAAGAACTGTTCAATCTACAAAGTCGTGAGGTGAAGTTGCTAGCATTTTTAACAAAAATACTAATATATCAATTTATCACACAAAAAAGAATGCTAGTAACTCTAACTCAACCACAAGGCCAAATCCATTAAAAAAAAAAAAAGCCAAAACTTTATTCCAAAAAGAATTACCAAAAGTAGAATGTTAACTCTGAAAACATCTACAGGTTTCATTTAAACTCACAGTCGCAAAATTCAAAATGTCAAACAAAAACAGCTCTATTGCTTCACCACGTTCAATGAAACTTTAAAAACTGAACATGTAGAGGCTGCCCCACAATTTGGGAGCCACTTAAGCAAATATTTAATATTAAGCTTAAACAAAGTATTAAAAGTTAAAAGCCTCCAATTTTAGAATGCCTGCTCAAGTCTTTGATATGTATGGGAAAACTGGGCTATTACTTTAAAAGAAATCATGTTTTTCTTCAAGAGCGATTTCTCGCCTTCATTTTGGCTGCATAGCATCTCCCCTGCAGGGACCCAGGGCTGGTCAACGGGACTGACTCACGGTGAACCCCTCTAGACCCCGCTTCCCACGCCCACCTCCCACCCACTGCTCCCTTCCCCACCCCCCAGTCCTCTGAGACTGAAGCTGTAACTGAACCAGGGCGTTTCAGGTCTTCAAAGATGGTCAGACTTGCACGATTCTGTTCTACCGCACAGTTCAGAACATACGGTAGGGGATTATATAGCTATTAAGGTAAGAAGAACATCGACTAGAGACAGAAACACCCGCCTAGTCTGCAACAGCAGCGCGTCACCACACAGAGGTTGTGTTTACGGGGCGTCCCGGGGCTTGTACCGCTCAGCGGGTGTTAATCACACAACCCTCGCACCGACACGAAGCACACGGCAAGGCCAGAGCACCTGGGCTCATGAGCAGTCTGTGTCACACATGGAACAAAAGGGCCACTTTTAAAGCTTTTCAAATAGTTATTTGATCATAGTTGTCTTTTCAAAATTACTGTACTAGTTCACAATGAAGGTAAAAACAATAGTTACTGTCTTATTAACACATTTTGCCTTAAAGTTCAGACAAAGCTGTGAGCTACAAGTCCTGTTGAATTTCTTGTCAAGTTTAACAAGTCTGTATGACAACATAAAACCATCCCTGGTAAGGTATTTGCAGTTTGGTCTTCAAAAGCCGTAAAAAGTAACAAAGAAATCCCAAAATAGTATGAGTTGAAACCATTAAAAATATTTATTGTTTGTAAATGCCACATATTTTGAGACAGCAGAAATCAAAGCATCCGCCTTCGAATTCTCACTTCTTGTATTTCACAAAAGTGCTTTAGAACTTAGATTTCTACCACCTGCATGGAGTGTACAGAGAGGAGGAAGCCCTGTGGGACAAGGCCCTTGGAGTCCGTTCCCAGGGCCAGGACTCAACCCCAGGCTCACACGCCTGCCGCATGCTGAGCACCTAGATGTGCCCGGGAGTACTCGGGGACACACACACACACGAATGAGGGGCCAGGCACCACAGTGCCACGGTCACTCATGTTTGAAAGAGCCGCTTCAAATCCTGATTTGACTCCATTGGACAGGCTACTCACCTTTATTTGGTGACACTGTGTTCTGAAATCTCTACATCTGCACCTGTGTTGCTAAAGTAAACTGCCACCTGGCACACCGGGCGAGCAGAGCGGCGGTAAACCTCCTGAGCTTGATTTACTGTCTAACGAACGCTTTCCAATGCTTTTGGTTGGAAGGATGCTTATTTTATTTGTCCAGCCGTACTGCATGTAGAGGTAAACATCTTTTTTTGGACTATCTGCCCAGAAACTGAGTAAACTACCAATTGAGACCCTGATTTTATTTTGGTCAGTGGGCACATACTCATATGCAATTACCCAGAATGATGAAAAACTAGCAATAAGAAACCTAACTACTATGTCAGATGCTGGAGAACAATCTTGATCATGTTATTTACGTATGTAGGCTTTAAAAGATAAACGGCTTTTCTAGGTGTTTTTGTATTTTATTAATTACTCAATTGGTGTATGAGTCATTTTGCCTTATCTGGAAAAAACATTTTAAAATATGTCCTTTGACAAAACAAGTTCTTGCTAGCTGAGGCATGAGTAATCAATTTATCCAGCTATTTTTCCAACTTCTAGAAATTAAAAATTAACCCTTCAAATATCTCTATTTAGATCTTATCCTCTCAAACTCTTTTAATGGTAAAATGGTAAAATTGGGTTTCCAAAATGTAAAAATCCTAATAGAAGTTTCTATTTCCGGAGTAAAAAAAAAGGCAAACACTGTGAGGTGAATGCTATCCTGATTTTGTTCCCCCAAAACAATCAGAAACCAGAAAAAAAATATTGAGATTCTCTTAGACTTCCAAAGTAAAAATTTATGGTAGTGTTTTTCTTTTTAAAAAGGAGTTTCAAGAGAATGGAATACCTGAATAAGACAAACTACTATCCAAAGGGAAAAAACAGCCAAAGATGTTTGGTAAGTTGCCAACAATACTTCAAAGATATTGAGCTAAAGAACCCCAGATCAGGGTGGCTCACTGGCCTGCAGTGAGTCACTTGACTCACTTGGTTGGGCATTGGCCTGCAGAACGAAAGGTCACCGGTTCAGTTCCGGGTCAGGGCACATGCAGGTTTGGTCCCCACTTGGGGTACATATGAGAGGCAACAAATTGATGTTTCTCTCCCTTTCTCCCTCCCTTCCCTTCTCTCTAAAAAAATAAATATCATCTTATAAAAAGAAACTGAACTAAAGAGAATTTGATCTGAAATTAATATAAAACTTAGGATGAAATGTTTATGACAAAATTTAAGTCTCCCCATCTGTTCGCTATGAAGTAGGTGAAATCAACATAAGGATATTATGAACAGGTTTAAGGTCACATCCAGAACTAAACAGAAAACTTTCAAACCTAGAAAGCAAAATGGTTTTTCCTTTCACTGCCTGCTCAAGCCTACGACGTCTGAGCAGAAATAGTCTGGTAATGACCCCCCAACAGGTACTTTGTTTCAAAAATGAATACAAGCAATTTATCACAAAAAGCCTATGACTATTAAGCTCTTTTCTTCCCTGTCCTGCTCCTTTGTCCTCTGGTGTATATGCTTAAGTGCAGCAAAGAAGAGTACCCTTTACAACTTCTAAGAACAGAGAAGCAAGAAATGGAGTAATAAAGTAAGCCTGAGAATTCAAGAGGTCCTAAGAGCCTTTCCTCTGGCTGGTCATGGCCACTGACATTTCAACACAGAAGGTTCGGAGACTTTGGACAAGACCATCGTGGCTATTAGTTTCTTTGTCAAAAGCCATCCATCAGATAAACAGCTCTTAACAAGGCAATGAGCCTAAAGTTCTCAGGTAATAATTAAAACAAAACCCAAAACCCCAGAACCCTTAAAATTTCCTATTGTAACATTTTATTCCAAATTTGTTGGTGCTTAAAGAGAACAGCTTTGCCTGTAATTCACTGTGCCCTGAACTTGTGACACCAACTGGTATTTGGCCAATTAAGGACAAGGCCAAACTGCTTTCTTCTTTGAAGGTCTAGTCAGTTAATAAATGGCACCTAACTGATGATTTCTTTCATATAACCTTTAACAAGAATTCATAGGTCGCATTGATTATGCCCCAAGAGATGAGGGACCGATGGTAATTCAGATGGGCACCTCTGAAAAGATTTGTGAGTTTCCTGTCCCGTTCTAACCAGATTTTTTTGAAAACCTTGGGAAAAGACTGGAATTCCCCACCAATCTGAGACTGCATGCGAGTTTTTACAACATTAAGTGGGAAAAACAAGATTCCCAACATGGCGCCCAACAGCCCTCCGCAGATAAAATCGGTGACCAAGTGAGCGCCGTGAGTTGTAGCAGTAGGCAGGTGCTCCTTGATGGGACCCCGGAGGCCAAAAAACAGGACGTTGCTGAAGCCATTGCGGAAAAGAATAGGTGTCAAGCCTCGGTAATACTCTCCAACTCCATGGCACTTCAGTGCTTTGAAAGCCTGGTAAGTGTTTGTGAATTTGTCATGATGCTTGTGGTCTTGAAGCAATGTTTGAACTCTTTCAAACGGGGTGAAAATTGCTTCCGTTGTCCCCGCAAGTAACGCCGCCATGCTGCGGGTTGCAACCTCTGGGGCACTGGTGTGCCTCCGGAGGAGGCAGGACAAATCCTCATACAGACCGAACATAAGTGCCAGTGTCGTCGTCTTCTGCATCAGCGGGGGGAGGATGCCGCGGTACAGGTTCCGGAAGCCGTCCCTCCGCAACTGAAGCACTGCGTCCCTGGTTTTGATTCCATAAAGCTGTTGCCGAAAGAGGACCTTCTGAACGGGATACGTGATTGTTACGTTGTTGAAAGCTGCACAGCAGCCACACAAATAGTGTTTCATTTCACCAACATCTGTAATATGAGGCGATATATCTTGTTTTGAAGATGTTATGATGGGAGACCTCTTTTCATGAGCTTCTGAATCCATCATGCAGCTTGTGGCTTACGATCTTTCTTCTTCATGAAGGATTCTTTTTAACCTACAAATAATAAAATGACAATAGGTAAACCTTTAAACAGAGTGTTCCATTTTCAGAGGGCTCCTGGAGGTCCCCAAGACCCTTTCCATGGTCTGGCGGTGCCCCCTTTTCCAATAACACACTGTGTGAAGCTTAATTTTCTGCATAAACTCCGACCAGAACAACTCCGACTGAAGCAGAAGCAGATATGGGACCCTGCTTATCTTTTCAAACCAGACATTAATGAAACCTGCAAAACTATAAAACATGCTCTTCTCAATGATTTTTTTAAAAAGTTACTTTTCATGAAAATGTGTTGCTTATATTAACATGAGTTTATCATCATTATTATTAAGTAAATTAATAAATATTTTTAAATTTTAGCCCTAGCTGGTGTAGCTCAGTTGATTGAGTGCAGGCCTGCAAACCAAAGAGTCACTGGTTCAATTCCCAGCCAGGGAACATGCCTGGGTTGTGGGCCAGGTCCCCAATGGGGCGCATGTGAAAGGCAACCACACATTGATGTTTCCCCCCTCTTTCTGCTTCCCTTCCCCTCACTCTAAAAATAAATAAAACCTTTAAAAAAGGAAAAAGATTAAAAGAAATAAGTATTTTAAAATTTTGTTTCAATTGCTAAGACCACAAATATTAATCCACATAAATAAAGGCTCTTTGGCATCCACAATAATTTTTAGGTGTAAAAGGATCCTGAGACCGAAACAATTTGAGCACCACTGGACTGGTTCATGCACACTGTCTACACTACACAACTGTATACATCACTATCCTTCTGAAACAAAGTCCTTCCACGAGAAATACAACAGCAGGACATGCATTCAATCACTGTGTTCACTAACGCTTACATGGTACCCGCTCTGAACCAGGCCCTCTGCTCAATGCTCGTAATCCAAAGACAAGGAACTCGTGATTCCACAGGAGACTGCCAGGGTGAGCGCTGACACCGCAGCAGTATCTTCTAGGAGAAGTGTGCCATGGAGCACGGGTGAGGGCCACGGAACACGGGTGAGGGGCACAGGTGAGGGGCACGGAGCATGGGTGAGGGGCACGGAGCACGGGTGAGGAGCACAGGTGAGGGGCACGGAGCACGGGTGAGGGGCACAGGTGAGGGGCACGGGGCACGGGGCACGGGTGAGGAGCACAGGTGAGGGGCACGGGGCACAGAGCACGGGTGAGGAGCACGGGTGAGGGGCACGGGGCACGGGTGAGGGGCACGGGTGAGGGGCACGGGGCACGGGTGAGGGGCACAGGTGAGGGGCACGGAGCATGGGTGAGGGGCACGGGTGAGGGGCACAGGTGAGGGGCATGGAGCACGGGTGAGGGGCACGGAGCACGGGTGAGGAGCACAGGTGAGGGGCACGGGGCACGGGTGAGGAGCACGGGTGAGGGGCACGGGGCACGGGTGAGGAGCACAGGTGAGGGGCATGGGGCACGGGTGAGGAGCACAGGTGAGGGGCACGGGGCACGGGTGAGGAGCACGGGTGAGGGGCATGGGGCATGGGTGAGGGGCACGGGTGAGGAGCACAGGTGAGGGGCATGGAGCACGGGTGAGGGGCACGGAGCACGGGTGAGGAGCACAGGTGAGGGGCATGGAGCACGGGTGAGGGGCACGGGGCACGGGTGAGGAGCACAGGTGAGGGGCACGGAGCACGGGTGAGGAGCACAGGTGAGGGGCACGGGGCACGGGTGAGGGGCACGGGGCACAGGTGAGGAGCACAGGTGAGGGGCACGGGGCACGGGTGAGGAGCACAGGTGAGGGGCACGGGGCACGGGTGAGGGGCACGGGGCACGGGTGAGGAGCACGGGTGAGGGGCACGGAGCACGGGTGAGGGGCATGGAGCACGGGTGAGGGGCACAGGTGAGGGGCACGGGGCACGGAGCACAGGTGAGGAGCACAGGTGAGGGGCACGGAGCACGGGTGAGGGGCACGGAGCACGGGTGAGGGACACGGAGCACGAGTGAGGGACACCGCGCGCACATGCTTGCCGCGGTCCAGCCGCAGCGGGTCAAGGGGTCCCACAGGTGAGGGTAGGCGTCGGCGCTGGGTAACAGACGACAACACGCCTCAAAGGACAGTGAAGCTCTGTTCCGTTTATTGCAAGTACAAGCAGGTTTTTATATTTTCATTTCAGGTAGTGATTAATATCTGCAGTATAACATGATCATTTAAGCAGAAAAAATCAATACAAAGGTATTCAGTAAAAGTACAAAAGTTCCCATAGATTTAGTTAAAGATTATTTTAACTAGGAGAGCCATTAATCAGACAATTAGAAATATCTTATTGTATATTAAAGTTTCTCAGAATTTGGTATAGGGCAAAAGGATACGCTAAATTGAGTAAAGAAAATAGGAGATTTATTATAAATAAGGCCCTTGTGATGTCTAACTTAGCTATCTACCTTTTTTTTTTTTTGCTTAAAATGTTTTTCTGTGTACTATAAATTCTGACTCCCTACTGACTGTTTAGTTTGTAATAACTAACTAGCTTTTGTTATTTCTTTGCCTGTCTAGTTGATATATATTCTTATTCAAGGTAAAGAAGGGGCTATTCCTATGTTGCAGGGGGCTTTTAAGGGTACTTCTTTTAAGTTTCTCTAGGAGTTCTTTTATAGACATGTTTTGTACTTTGATTCCCTCTAAGAAAGTAGTGAGATCATCTCCTGATTTCCTAGAGTATTCTATCTTGTCTTGGGTGTTTTTCTAATGATCTGTTATTGATTAAGCTTGAATTCTCAGATTGTTCTGATTGTTTCCTTGTGCCTGTATTCCCTGACGTTTCTAGTATGATATTATTATTCCGTTCATTGAGCCAGGAAAGGTCCAGGCACACTATCTGAATCACTGCCAGGGTATTCATAATGATTAAAGCAAAAAGGGTCATGATCCCCAAAGCAAGCACAATCACAATAGGTATTGCAGGGCCTTCCATGCCACGTCCACCAGGTTGGAAACTGCTTCCTTGAAGTCTTACACCCCCTCTCAGGACCTTGTCACGGAGAGAGGGATCCAACAGTGGACGCGGCAGTGGACGTGGCATTGGGTGAGGGACGCCGCGCACACATGCTAAGAAGCGGAGGCTGGAAGTAAAGGGTTGAAGGGGGCCTGCGGGTGTGTACTCTACACTGTATTTTCACAAATTTAATTCTCAAAACAACTCTATAAATATTTTCCTAGCTTTACCAATGAAATGACCAACACTCTTTTGCCCAAGGTACAGTTACTAACTGGTAGAGCTGGCATCTTGAAATGAAGCCTGACTCACTCCAGGCTCCTTGTTCCTGCTTTCATACCACAGGTGGCAGTGACTTTCGGAGGCCGCCCTGAGACAAAAGTTGGCTGTAAGAGACCATGAGGAAAACTATTTGAAGCCTAAATATATCCATTTAGCCCACTGGGTAGAACTGAGGCAAAACAGAATGTATGTTTCCTTAAAATGGCAAGATTGTTCTTGCCTGTCATCTAAAGCCAACTTTCCCCTCAAAAGGATCTAAATAGTTAAGACCATCCAGAACATTTCCTACATCCCAGAAATAGTCGCAGAAATTACCTTCAGCTGGGGACATGACAGTTTTATATTTTATATGTATCAGGCTAAATATTTCAAAATTGCTTATATTCTTCAACAGTAAAATATCACATTTAACTACAACTCAAAAAATTAAATAACCTAATTAAAAATGAGCAAAGGACCTGAAAAGATATTTCTCCAAAGATATACAAACAGTCAACAAGCATATGAAGAGATGCTTGACATCACTTATCATCAGGGAAATGCAAATCAAACCCACAATGAAATATCGCCTCATACCCATTAGGATGGCCCCTATGAAAGAGAGGAGGGAAGAGAGGAGGGAAGAGAGGACGAGAGGACGGAAGGAAGGGAGGCAGGGAGGGAGGGGAAAGGGAGCGGAAAGGAAAAGGACAACGACTATTGGTGGGGATGTAGAGAAGTCGGAACCCTTGTGCACCACTGGTGGGAATGTAAAATGGTGCAACCTCTAAAGAAAACTGTATGGTGTGCTCTCGGCTGGTGTGGCTCGGTTGGAGCATCGTCTCATAGGCTGAAAAGGACGTGGATTTAATTCCTGATCAGGGTACACACCCAGGTTGCAGGGTTTAATACCCGGTAGGGGCATGTATGAGAAGGCAACTAATTGATGTCTCTCTCTCTCTCTCTCTCTGTATTTGTCTCTCTCCCACCAACCCTTCCTGTATCTCTAGAGCAATGAAAAAACGTCCTTGGGTGATGATTAAAAAAAATTATGGCCATCCCTCTGTTCTTCAAAAAACTTAAAATAGGGACTTCCAGCCAAGATGGAGGCTAAGGTAGATATACCTGACCTCCCTGCATAAGCAAAAGGACAACAAATTTAAAAACAAAAAATAACCAGAATTGCCAGAAAATCAAACTGTATGGAAGTCCCACAACGAAGGAGTTAAAGAAGAAACATTCATTCAGACCTGTAGGAGGAGCAGAGACAGGCAGCCAGAGCAGAGAGGATGTATGACAAGGTGGTGGCAGAGGACTGGGAGGTTCCACATCTGTGTGCTGAAAAACCAGGAGGTACAACTTCAGAGCAGGACAGACTTTGCAACCCAGGGTTCCAGCACAGGGGAAATACAGGCTCAAAACCTCCGACTGTAAAAACCTGTGGGGGTTGCAGTGGCAAGAGAAACTCCCAACCTCACAGGGAAGTTACTAAAGAGACCCACAGGGCCCTAGAACATACACAAACCCATCCACCAGGGAATCAGCACCAGAAGGGCCCAATCTGCTTGTGGGTAGTGGGGGAGGTGACTGGAAGTGGGGCAAGAGGCCAGCAAACAACATTTTTCTCTCTCAGACCCCTCCCCCACAGACTTCCGCAACGCAGTGAAGTTTTCCTATTCATTTTTAGGAAAAAATGTAGTATACAGGTACATATTAAAGTGCCTATTTTGAAAAGACATGAAACCAAACATACAGACAGCGCCCCCCTCCGGGCGAACTGTCCCACCTCACCTTCTCATCTGCCGCCCGATTACTGAGAAAGCCTCTTCATCAGTCAGCCTGATGCTAGTCACACTCGCTCCGCTTCACCTCACCTGCCTATCCTTCACTTTGAAAATACACCAAAAGAACACACTAAGTAAAAAAAAAAAAGCAAGGTGTTCAACCACGCACTTGGGAATTTTCTAATAGCAGAGATAATCCCAGTGTTCTGAATGGCTGCACAGTATTCGATCAAACAGATGTATTATAATTGCATATAAATATATTATATACTTACATTATAATTTGCTCTATCTCTTATTTATGGTTAGATTTTTGGCTTTGGTTTGTTTTTCCCCTTTGAAACAATGCTGCCAGGAGCAGCTCTGCCCCTGTGCTTGGACTCTCACCAGTCTGTCTGTAGGACAGATCTTTACAAGGGACTGCCGCAGGTTCAGCGTGATGCATTTTAATTTGACAGCTACCCCACACTGCTCCCAAAAAATGTACGATTTACATTTCCATTAAGTGTATGCCAGTACCAAGTTCCCTACTATTTCTAGTATCAGGCATTAAACTGCAATTTTTGCCAAAGTGATGGGTGAAAAAAAATCTCCCTTTGTCATTTAAGTTTTTTGAATAAAATTCAGCATTTTTCATTTTAATTGACTATTTGAATTTCTTTCACTATAAATTTTCATTTTACCTATTTTTCTGTATACACTTTGTGTTTTTTCTTAACTGATTTGTGAAACTTATTTGCATATGAAGAAAATCAAATTGCAACAAATACCTTCCCCATTTTGTATCATTTTTATGATACTGAAGTTTAACTTGGATATTAAATCTATTGATCTTGGTTTCAAGGTTTTGTGTCCTTTAAAACTATATACAAATAATCCATGATTCCTTCTTTGACTTTTACAATCTCATCATCTGTTCTATAATCTCTCTGGAATTTCAGTATGAAGGGTCGGGCAAAGATAAGAGCATAACCTAAACATCCATAGGCATTTTGCATTTATTTCTGCACCCCCTTCTGCTCAACCACTAGCCTAGCATTTCTTCCCTAACAGCAACCTGCTTGAACCTACTGCAGCATCAGAACAGACTTCAGTACCTAGTAGGACCCCCTTTCTACTCTTCCCATCAGAATTATCAGCTTTATGGGCTCTTATACTTTTCCAGATAAACTTCAGTATATTTTTGTTGTATTCCTCCCCAGAATCTTGTTGGTATTTATTTCATAGTGACAGTGACTCTATAAACTTGAAGAATGTTTCCAAAAATCAAACTTTACAAGACCATGATGTCTCACTATTTACTTGTATCTTTCTACAAACCTTAGTAGCATTTAAATTTTTACATATAGATCTTGAATATGTCTAGGTATTTTACCTTTTGGTCACTATTATAAACGGTCTATTTTCTTCCAATTAATTTTCTAACTGCTTTTTATCTACATGTGAAAAAGCTACCAAGTCTTGTATATTTAAGGTTACCAGCCAACTTACCAAATCTTCTATTTCTCAGGGTTTTTTTGGTGGATTTACTTTCCACTATACATAATACGTTTCATGAATTTTGCCTTCTCCTTTACAACATGTATCTTCCTTTCTTCTATCTTCTTGAACAAAATTAAACTATGGTAATAGTGTACATCCTGAATTTTTGACACCTGTGGGAACTCGACTAGGGATTACTCTTAACCATGACACTGGCTTTTGGTTTGAGAAACGGAGGTCCTGTCATTGGACCATTCAGAACTTGAGTCCTAGCAATTTCAAGTGCACACAGGGAAACCAGTTACTGTGACACAGAGGTGTTCCCATGCAAGGTTCCTTGTCCACCATCTGTCTCTACCCGCCTTTAGGATGGTGCTGCAAACACGAAGTGAAGCATGTCTTTCCATTGCTAGAGTTTCACCTGACAAACTATGCTAAAGACTCTAAAACTTCATTCTGCATTAATTCTAAGAATTCGTATAGTATCTGCAATTATACTTTAAGCCCCTGCCCACCACTATTCACTAGGAAATTATGTTCCAAATAAAAATGGATTCCACTTTTTCTAGTACTAATAATCAATTGAGAATAGGGCCTCTTAGAGAGTTTTCAAAGATGGGAAGGGAATATACATTACTTGTTTTACTGAAGTTCATCCACCTGCCCCCCCTTTCCCTAAATAAATACTAAATCTAAAATCTACCTTGAACTTTGGTCAAATGCTTTTAGGAAGCAACTGAGATGATACATGGACACTGGAGGCAGAGCAAAGTGTAGTATTGAAGGGTTACAGCTAATTGCTTGGGCTTAACTCCTGGCTCCACCACAGAGCTACTGTGTGACCTTCAACAAGCCTCTCCATGCCTCTATGGCTTAGTTTCCTCATTTATAAAATCAGGATGCTGCCTACCTCATAGGCTGATTACCTAATGTAAAGCACCCAGGAGAGAAGTCTGTAATACAACAGGTGCTCAACAAGGGTAAACTATTATTGTTCTTTTCTGACATACTTATTTGGTGTGCACATTAGCATGTCTTTTGGTAATTACTCTCCCTTGTAATATGGGTATGAATCCTATTTGGCCATGGTGAAATATTCTTTTAATGTATTGCTAAATGCCATTGGCTAGTATTTTATTTTAAAACTTCACATTAGTCTTCATAAAATACAAAGTTTTCAATTTACTACTATCAGCACGTCAAGGTCAGGCATCACTGTTCCACTGGCTTGTAAAAAGAATCTTATTTTTCCATCTTTATGTCGTAAACAACTTAAATATTATCCAAATTATCTTCTCCTTCAAAGTTAAACAAAATTCACCTGTAGAAGGGGAAACAACCAATAATAAACTGTGACAAGTTGCGTGAGGTGATCACACTGTAGTTGATGGTACAGAAATGCTGAGTATTGTGCACCTGAAAGGAACATAAACACTGTATACCAACTGTACTTACAAAACAAAACAAAGTAGAACAAAACAAATTCACCTGTACACCATCTGGGCCTGGTGTTTTGAGGAATGGTAGCTTTTTGGTAACGTTCTCAATTTCTTCCATTGTTAATGGTCTGTTACGTTCTCTCTTCTGGAACCAATTTTGATAATTGGATGTCCTTTAAAAGAAAATCTGGCTTATTTATATAGTCTTATAAAGCACTTGCTATTTAAAAAAAAAAAATACATCTAGCTTTGGCTGGTATGGTTTAGTGGACTGAGTGCCGGCCTGTAAAGCAAGGGGTTGCTGGTTCGATTCCCAGCCAGGGCACATGTCTGGGTTGCAGGCCTGGTTCCCGGTTGGGGGCCACATGAGAGGCAACCACACACTGATGTTTCTCTCCTCTTTCTCTCTCCCTTTCCCTCTCTAAAAATAAATATTTTTAAAAATTAAAAAGTAAATCTAATTTTATGTACTTATGTTCTTTCTTGAGCAGGGTAGCCAGTGTATCCAGTTTACATTCATCCCATCTTGGCAAAGAACCAGTTTTTGCATTTTCCAATTTTTCAGTTTTTAAGTTTGTTTTTTTCTCTTTACTATCATTTTCTCCTGCTTTGTCTACGTTTATTTTATTGTATTTTTCTTAGTCAGATGCTTATTTTTTTATTCTGTTTCATAATTTTAGTGTTTAAGGCTATATATTTTTCTTTCAGCAAAACTTTTATTACTTTTGAAGCTATTCCGTGGCGAATGTAGGGTCTGACAGTCACCTTGCCATCTACACCATCTTCTGGTCCTTTGCAACAGCAGCTTTGATTTGGGATCACTGTCTATGCACCTTTTTCCAGAGACCACGCCTGTTTGGGCTTGTTTGTGGTGCCATATGCTTTATTTATGCTCAGGAGAAGAGCATCTTTCTCATGACCCACAGGAAAGATCCAACAAGAATGGAACCTGACATTTGGCAACTGTCCTTCAGTTTCAAAGGCTCAGTGATAAATATACCCTCCACAAGTTGACCTTTATCTATGGGAGAACAAAGCAAAAGTGGGAATCCAAGTTCATCAAGTCCACTGCTAAGTTCTTGGCAAACAGCAGGATGCCTGTTATGGATGCATATGAGCATCAAGTACCCAAACTCTATGACGTTCTCACCACCTCCACCCCCCCCCGCCAAATAAAACAGCCAATTCTAAAAGCAGTCATCTGTCTGCTGGATTATTCTGAATTACGAGGTAAGGGGGAAAGACACAGAGAACTTTAAATGAACAAAGTAAGAAATATTTAAAATGTCCATTTTGGCCTGAAATTTTAGTCCATTCTGGATAAACAGAAGTCTACCACAGATACGAGAAGTGGAAATTCTGATACTCCTTTGACTGCTGACTGTGTTGTTTTGACTTGTTTTTCAGGAAAAGCATTTTTGCTAAAAGCTGCAGACTTCCTCCTTCATATCTAGCAGTCCTTTAACTTTATATAGCATAGCACTGTGCCATACATTTGAAGACTCAGTGTTAGACTGGGTTTTAAAAACTGTTGCTGACTTTGTATTTGTTCCCGTTTCAATGGCTGCTTCCCTTAATTCAGGATACAACCTCTTAGGTGTGAGTTTCCCTTCATACACCATTTTTGTGGGTGTGTATACATAAATGACTTGAGAGAACTGGGGGCAAAAACAAACACACAGCTTTTTAAATTTGTTTTTTCAAACAGACCTTCTGCCTGTTAAATTTTGTGCTTTTAACCAATTAAAGCTAATGTCGTTTTTAATTTAAAAAAACTTTTATAGATGCTTATGAAGTTTTCCAGAATATAGTTTGATAATTATTAATCACTTAATCTTATATCCTTACTTCTGTTTCAGCTGACTGACATGAGTTAAAATTCCTTATTAATACTGTGTGACAACTGGCACAGAAATGCTTTTTATCCATGTAACACTTTTGTTTTCTTCAGTTTCAGAAACAAACATTATAATCAACAAAAACATTCAGATTAACACCCATATGATTACACAATAACACACTGTAACAATTTACAAATGAAAAAATGTCATTAATATGTACTGAATAATATATTTTAAATTCTAACACAGCTACTTATAAGCTGTTTAACAACGTATGTTCCTTGATAATACAGACCAAGTTATTTGTGCGCCTGAAACAACGTTTTGTCCATATTCACTTTTAATTCTTACTGTATGGTACTAGCATTACTTTCCAAAATTTTGCAAATTCAAGTTACTTCATTCAGCCCTGGCTGGTGTAGCTCAGTGAACTGAGCACCAGATTGCAAACCAAAAGGTTGCTTGTTCAATTCCCAATAAGGGCACAGGCCTGGGTTGAGGGCCAGGTCCCCAATAGGCGGTGCTAGACAGACAACCACACACTGATGTTTCTCTCCCTTTCTCCCTCCATTCCCCTCTCTCTAAAAATAAATAAAATAAAGTTACTTCATTCAGTTTGTAATTACTCCTACTAATAATGAGACTATTATTAAACAGAAGTTAGACACTGTATTGCAATATTTTAAGAAATTTTAGGAGCATTACAGCACATTTAGAACTTCAGGTTAAAGGGAAAAAGAGGCCTGGACACAGGAAAAAGGAATGCAGTGAAACCCAAACTCCACAGATTTCTCTCTAGTTTCATCCTGCACACCACAATGGTGGCAACAGGGTCTTAACTTGGCAATAGAAGGATAGTGTGCACAGTATTCTGGGGAAATAAAATTCAGAATCTTCTACTATGAACATGGCTAAATTTCTTTGCTCAATTGAGCTCACTTTAAATACTTTAACACATATACTTTTTTTGCAACTTACTGCAAAATTTATTTACCATTTTTACACTCCCTGAAACACCCAACCTATCTCAACACCAGGAAGAGAAGTTAATGAAGTTGACTTTAAAGCAACTGAAAGTGTCGAACTGTGCTGTTTAAGAAAACAGCGTGAAGTCTAAACACAGTAATTTACAGCCCCAAAAGATACACGGATGTGATCCCAGCATAAAGGTCTTTGTGCACAACTGGGCAGAAGGCAACTGTAATTCTCCAAGAATGTGCACTCGCACTGGTCCACGGGTCTGACTCAGCATTCAGAATAAGATCAACCCGGGTTCTAGTCCTAGTTATGGCACTCTTGCTATTATAAATACAAAGCAAAGTCTATAATTTAAAAATCCACTTCTCTGGGCTCACTACCAAAAAAGAGAACAGGTAAGTCCACTTCTCTTAGAGGTAACAGCTTGCGATTTTTCCCTGAGTTGCGCTAAAGGTGACGCGGAAGTGCCTAACCTTTGCTAGGAGACCGGACCAGTGCTTGCACCTTCTAATTTTATGGAATCCTTTCAAAGCAAGGCAGAGGAGGCTCAAAGCAGCAAGGTCACTACGTATTTATTTTAAGGGCTTCACAGTTTACAGGCAGAGAAACAGCAAGTGTGAATTAAGACAGGCTGTGTATAGCTGTGAGGGGCAAAATACAAATTATGCTATAAATGAAGCGTCGACATACTCCATCTAGCTAGCCTTAAAACCAAATAATCGGGACAGAGATTTACAATGAACAATACCACCCCCCCCCTTCTCCGCCCTCCTCCCAAAAGCCTGCACACCGAGTTTCGCACAACGCGAAGCAACATGGTGTCGCAGAATAAGCATTGTCTAGCTCTGTGGCTGAACTTACCTCTCTGCAGGCGTCCATGTGGCCAATCTGTGAGAAGAGGACGGGCAGGGAGCCGAGGGAATTACACAGGACTGCCCCTTCCGTCTCCGACGCTCAAAACAGTCTGGGGTCCGGAATCCCTGGGTCCCGAATCCCAGATCCGGGAGGGGGGGGCGGGAGCCCTCCCGCCGTCCCAGCACCGCCCTTTTCCTGGCGCTAGCGGAGCTCGGCTCCTCCCCGCTCAGGGAGCGCCCGAAAAACCCAGTCTCCTTTTCTGCGCGGGAAAAACTCGCTCCGGCAGCTAGACGCCGTCCCGGGCCCAGCGAAGCCCGGGTTCAGGAGTGGACGCCGGAAGCCGCGAACCTGGGGAGCGGAGGACTGAACCCGCGTTGCGGGGGCGCGTTGACCCGGCCGGGCGGCCTCCTCAGACCCTCCTCCGTGCGTCCATGCCCTCCACCACGAGGACGAGGGAAACCTCGTGCTCCCCTCTCGCGTTCTTCTCGCACTCACCCATCCCCGCCGGCGCCCGGATCCACGCCCGGTAGCCGCCGGCCGGCGGATCGGCGAGCTGAGGAGCCGGCGCAGGCGCAGACCTTGACCGACCCCCAGTCCTCGGGGCGTAGCGTGACGCGCTTGCGCAGTCCAAACCCTATCACGTGAGGGAGACGCCGTCGCCACCACGCCTCTCTTTTAAAAACCTCGAGCGTTAGGGGTTGTTGACCACCTGCTGGAGTGAGTACGCAGCCGCAGGTCCTGGAGAGAGGGTCACCCATCCCAACTGTGGTAATGCCTTGGGACCTCTTCCTGCAAAACACCGTAACCTTAGTACCGTACGGTGGCCTTGCCGTGCCATAAACAGCCAACGCATTCTCTCTTGTGCAGTCGGCGGGAAGACCAGTGGGAATTGATCGTTGTGATTGGCAATCAAACGGGTGCCTTAAAGGCCTGAATGTACCCCACCTAACCCCCCTTTCTAGCCTTGGTCAGTTTCATCAAACCCTCCAAGTGTCCTTTTGTCAGCTGCCAATACCACAGTTTACAGAACACCTGTGTGTGCATTAGGACATTTATAGCACTTTGAAACCCGTTTCCTCTCCACATCAGGCAGGTTGCAGGTCCGGGACTCCACTAGCAGTTAGGAGGCGGAGGCCAGGTAATAGTACTTTGACATTTTCTGGGAGTGACCTTGGAGAGGTCACTGATCCCTGAGCCCCAGATACCTGTCTGAAAAGTAAGTGCCTTTGTAAGAATTGCTGGGAGTAATGGTCTGGAAGGCACGCAGATGTGAGGGTTTGAAGGAAACGGAAAGGTCGGTTTGGAGAGGAGAGGCTCTTCAGAAGGCTCATCAAATACGTGAAGTGTAGGCCAGTAGGCACCTGCACTAGAGTGAAGCATTCGGGTATGTATGTGCTTTAGGTGGGTGACTTTCCTTGCCCACTTCCCCCAAGAGCACTGGGTAGATACTGACTCCAGAACACTGTGTGGTCTGCTTGAGCTGGCCTGCTTTACTGTACCTTGGGATGTGGAAGACCATGCTACCTAATTTCAGCAAACACTCTACCAAGGTACCTACTGTGTGCCATTGTCCATGCCTCAGCTCCCTTGGGGGAGCTTAGAATCGAATGAAGGATATAAAAATAAAAGACTGAACATTCAGAAGCATGGAGGGGCCATTCCGTTTGAGAACCAGGAACGCATTATAGGGTAGGAGGCACGCGACAGTGCCTTGGAGGATGAATGAGTGGAATTTGGACTCGTGGAGAAAGTCATAATTCAGGAGATAAGGTTGTAAAGGTCGCGTGGTGGGGTCTGATAGTGCAAATCTTGACTGTCAGACATGCACCTGGTATGTAATCCGTGTGCAGAGAGATTCTGGACTCCACAGGATAATGACTAGGCCACACAGTGCCGTGGAATGATTAATCAGGCAACACTGGAAGGACATTTTTCTCAAATTATGTTTGCCCTGTCTTGTGTGAATTCCTATTCACATTTATTATCTGAAAAATAAATAAACCAGGCAGGCATCCAGCATGTTCAGAAGCATAAATAATTCATTTGAAATTAGAATGGAGGGTTAGTCTCCTGTGGTAAAACCTGAAAAGGGGGGAAAGATAGAAATTAAACACACGGCTGGGGAGATTCCAGGCCAGCGGAACACTCCGGGCTGGCACTGAGCCCGTCTGTATCTCTCCGCTGCAGGCCGCGGCACAGCCCTCTGCTCCTGCAGCCTTAGTTCCTTGTCAGGAGCCTCCACGTCTTTAATGGGCACATGCAGTTCGGAAATGAAAACCCTCTCTTTTCTGATTCAGGCTATCATAACGTTAGCTTTTCATTTCTCTGTCCACATCCACCCATTCTTTTTCTTTACATTTTTAATTACAGTTGACACTTCATAGTATATTAGTGTCAGGTGCGCACTGCACAGTGGTTAGACATGTAACCTATGAAGTGATCCCCCCCCATAAGTCTAGTACCACTGACATCATTATACAACATTATTGTATAATGTTGTAATAACTATGTTCCCTATATTAATCCCTTCTTTTTTTTCACCTCCCTTCACCTGGTAACCATCCATTTGTTCTCTGTATTTATGAGTTTGTTCATCTATTTTGTTTGGGGTTTTTTTTTAGATTCCACATATAAGTGAAATTGTGTGGTATTTGTTTGACTTTTTTCATTTAGCATAATACCCTCTAGCTCTATCCATATTGTCACAAATGGCAGGATTTTGCTTTTTTTTTTCCCCCTGGCCAAGCGATATTTCATTGTATATATGTACCAGCGCTTTATCCATTTGTCTATCGATGGACACTTAGGTTGCTTCCATATCTTGGCTATTGAAATAATGCTGCAATGAACATGGGGTACATATGTCTTTTTTATTTAGAATTTTGGGTTTCTTTGGGTAAATACCCAAAAGTGGAGTTGCTGGGTCCCTCTTTGTCTCTTGTTAATAGTCTTGGTTTTAACAAATCTATTTTGTCTGATATTAGCATTGTACCCCAGATGTTTTTCCATTTCCATTTGTATGAAATACCTTTTTCCATCCCTTTACTTTCAGTCTGTGTCTTGTGATCTGGGTCTGTTGTAGACAGCACGTGTACGGGTCTTGTTTTCTTATCTGGTTACCTTGTCTTTTTTAAATTTATTTTTAAAGAGAAAGCAAGGGAAAGAGAAAGGGAGAGAAACATCAATGTGTGGTTGCCTCTTGTGGGCCCCTGACTGGGGACCTGGCCCACAACCCAGGCATGTGCCCTGGGAATCGAACTGGTGACCTTTTGGTTCACAGGCTGGTGCTGAATCCACCAGACCACACCAGCCAGGGCTGGTTACCCTGTCTTTTGATTGGAGCATTTACTCTATTTACATTTAAAATAATTATTGATAGGCATGTAATTATTGCCATTTTATCGATACTTTTTATCTTTCTTCCCCCTCCCCTTCCCCTCCTCCGCCACATTTGTTCTAATACCAGTTTGGTGGTGATAAGCTCCCTGGACTTTTTCTTGTCTGGGAAGCTCTTTCTCTTTTGTTCAATTCTAGATGATAGCCTTGTTGGGTAGACTAATCTTGATCGTAGGTCCTTGCTTTTCATCAGTTTGAATGTTTCATGCCAGTCCCTTCTGGCCTGCAAAGTTTCTGTTGAGAAATCCGCCGACAGTCTGATGCACGTGCCCTTGTAGGTAGCTAACTGCTTTCCTCTGGCTGCTTCTAAGATTCTCTATCTTTAACCTCCGGAATTTAATTATGATGCGTCTTGGTGCACATGCACACGTTCTTTCATTCATTCTTCAGTCTTTAGAACTGTTCTGTATACAGTGGAACTTTGGTTCTTGAACTTAATCGTCTCTGGTAGGCTGTTTGGAAAATTAATTGTTTGAGATGGGAGACTCGAACACAGGTTCGACTGTACCTGCAGCCTCCATCCCAGCTGTCAGACTGTGTCCTCTAACCCAGCTTCGATCTTGCTTCTCAGCCTAAAGGCTGCCGCTGGCTTCCTCTGGCCTCTGTAATAAATCCAAATTCCTTAACTTGGTGTGAGGGCTGTGTCCTAGTGCCTCTGACTATTAGCGCACCTCACTCCCAACTACATGCTGTGTTTCAGCCTTGTTGGGTCTCTGTGTTTTACAAATGCTTGTGTTCAAGTCTCTCCCCGCCTTCACCGTGGCAAACTTGTTACCTCTCCAGGCCCCTTCGCCTCCTCGTCTGGAAAGTCTTTTCTTACCCAGCTCACTGTGCAGAGCTGTGGGACTCGTTTCTGGCCTTCCAGCCTAGGGCTTGGCAAAAAGGGTGCTTGCCCCCAATGAAGCGGTGGTGGAGAGGGTGGCAGTGTTGCTGATGGACCTTGGCTGAAGCACTCTCCACTCCCCTCCCACCAAATGCTTCCTAGGACATTCTCTAGTGTCTTCACACCTCATGGGCCCTTATGTCCACGAAAACAGTTCTCTGCGAGTTGCCGGTGAAGTCTCACTGCTGTGAGTGGCTCTGCCCAAATAAAGTCACCTTAGGTCATTCCCTAGCAAGCGGCCAACGACCTTCCTGTGTCTTCAGCTCAGTTTCCCAGGCCCCTGCAACTCTCTGTGACTATCTCTGCCACTCCCCTTGACATCCTCGTGCTCCAGCCTTGAGGCCAGCACTGCCGGTTCCCTTCCACGAACTTGCTGCCGCCTTTGACACACCCACGAACTGCGTACATTTTTGTCCTCCATGCCTGGTAGGCCCTGCCTTCTCTTCACCCTTCACACACACAGAGCTAGCTGCCTTGTGACCCTGACCTCACGATCTGATGCTGCAGATCGTGACTGCTCTGCCCGTTCTGCCCTGCTCCCCTCTGCCCCCCGGGTGTCCTTGAATTCCTTCCATTCCTGGGGCTGGTGGGTTAACTCCTGGGCCTGCTTCCTTTCTGCTTCATTCATTTACAAACTCACACTGATCTAGCAACTCACATCCTTTGCAAGCCTGTGAGACAGTCTATTCCTTTTATTCAGTAATTTATTTTTATGCTGGTGGAGAGTGAATTTTAAGCCTGTTTTACAACTGAATTATCTGGGGCACTTTAAAAACCAAACTAACCAAACAAAACTTGAGAGATTCTGACTTAATTAGTCTGCAGTGGGACGTGGACTGTAGTCATTTTTAAAACCTCCCAGGTGTGCTGAGGTTGCAACCAGCACTAAATACTGGCTTCCTCAGCTTGCCTAAAGGCAAGAATCACCTCCCTGGCTAGTATTCAGAGTGTCATCCGAATACCCCAGAGTTGCAGGTTTTGATTCCAGGTCAGGGCACATATAACAACAACCAATGGCCCTGGCTGGTATGGCTCAGTGGATCGAGCACCGGCCTGCAAACCAAGGGGTCTCTGGTTCGATTCCCAGTCAGGGCACATGCCTGGGCCAGGTCCCTGGTGGGGGGCATGCAAGAGGCAACCACACACTGATGTTCCTCTTTCTCTCTCTTTCCCTTGCCCTCTCTCTAAAAATACATACATAAAAATTTTAAAAAAACAGTATCCACCAATGAATGCATAAGTAAGTGGAAGAACAAATGGAAGTTCTTTCTCTCCCTTCCTCTCTCTAAAATCAATCAATAAATATTTGTAGAAACGCGAGTCGCCTGAACCTGTCAAGCAGCCCGTGGCCCTAGACCTGCAGCACAGGTCTCACCCTGGGTGCCTGTTAGGAAAGGTTCTTCCTGGCCCGACCCAGACATAGTGAAGGAGTATCTGTATTTAACCAGGTCACCAGCTGAATTATATGCACTTTACAGGTTG